GAACCATATTCAAAATAGAAGGCCGTATGTGGAGGCTACTGATCCATACATTGAAATTAGCAGATAAGGATTTTAAAGCAACTATTATGATTATGCTCAGTATTTCCAGAAAAAAATGTCTTCATCATTAATAAAGATGCAGGAAATTTTGGCAGAAAAGATAAATTATAACAAAGAACCAAAAGAAATTCTAGAGCTGAAAGGTACAAAACTAAAGTTTTGGGGGAAAAAATCACTGATGGAGATGGAGAGCAGATTATAGTTAATAGAAGAAAGCAAATTTGAACATAGATCAAAAGATATCTAACCCGAAGAACAGAGAGAAAACAACAACATAAACAAGGAGATAATACCTAAGTCTCATAAAGCATGGTTGGAGTCCCAAAAGGAGAGGAAAGAGAATCCTCTGTGTTCCCAAGTGCATGCATTTCTCAAGCTCATCAAATGGTGTATTTTAATTTGTGTATTTCAAATAAGTATCATAAAAGGAAAAAAAGTAGGCATAAAAAATATAATTCCTAACTTAGCAAGACCCTGTCTCAAAATAAAAAATAAAAAGGGCTGGGATGTGGCTCATTGGTTAGGCACCCCTGAGTTCAATGCCTGGTACCAAAAAACAAAACAAAACAAAAAACCCCACAATTCCTAGCTAACTGTACTAATGCTGAAGCCTTTAGAAATGAATCATAGTAATACCTGCACTTACTCTGAAATGGGTAAAAAAATAAGGTGGACCAATTATTACAGGGATGCATTTGTGATAGAGCTAGAAGAGTAAAATCTGATTGTAGGTACACAGCATAACATTCTGTAATTTTTCCACATATTTATAATTCTTTCTGAATAATTTGTTTCCATATTTTGAAAAATCAAAAATAAAATTATAGAAAACCATAACTTCATTAATATATTTTCAGTGAGTTTTGTCCAAAACTTTCCTCATAAATAATCCACAAAAACCTGCTCATGAGCATATAAATTCAGGAGATGCATTAACTGTTATTTAATTTTAGCTTTCCTGGACAGCTGTGATATCAGTCTTCTAGATCTCTCTCTCTTCTCTTTCTAACCTCTCCAATTCATTCTCCATTCAGTGGTCAGGATGATGTTGTAAGAATGTAAAAATGCATGTTGATTCCCTTGCTTAAAAAGCACTCACAGGCTCTTGGCTCTCCTCACAGTCTGGGCAGTCAGGATCCCCAGGGCTCCTTGCATTTGGCCACAAACCCTCTCCTGTTCATGGCCTTTGCGCTTGCTGAAACCTCTGCCTGTAAAATTCCTCCCCGTCTCTTTGTTGTAATTTGGCTTCATCATGCTTTTCACATTTTATACTGATCTAGTTTTTAATTTATTTGCTTATTTTCTTGCTTCCCAGCTGAAAATTAAAAACAAAACAACAACAACAACAAAAAAAACACCACTTTTTTTTGTTCTTACCCTCTACTGTTTTTCTAGGACCCTGCAGTGGGTCCCAGATCTCTGACAGATCTCTGATCTAATCTAATATTTCCAAGTTAATAAACTGTAGAACCAGTACTAAAACCAGGTGTTCTGTGGATTCTCTCATGATGTCAAATGGGTAGGGAGAGAGGATACTGTATGATTTCTATCCTCCTAGAGTTTCCAGTCTAGAAAAGTTAGAATGTGGAATCAGAGGAGCAGTTGGTTCTGAGCTCCAGGAGATCCTCACCTCCCTTCTGCCCACCCCGTGTCCCTTGAAGATCCCCACTCACAGTAAATACTTATCGTGGAGCCCGTCACTAAACGTGTGCTCTTTTGCTCCCAACAGAGCTCTATTCTCCTCCAGCCCAGGCCTCATCAATCTCAAGACAACCACAAGCTAGGGGTGGCCTTTCCTCCACATGGCCGCTATTCTCCACACCACAGCCAGAGTAACCCTGTGTCAGAGAAATCTTATCCTGTCATTTCCTGACCCCAACATGTAACTTCCATTGGATGAAGTTCAGTCTCACTAATGTCTCTCCCAAGGCTCCTGAAGAGAGCTGGGTAGACACCTCCCACACCCACAAGCCCACTGCTGTGACTCTTCTTCCCAAGCTCCAACCTTTCAGATCCCCAAGCACCCACTGCTCCCTCTCCCTCTTCCTCTGGGGTGTTTCCTCTGTCCAGAAAACGACTCCACTGCTCCCTGGCAGACTTCCTTCCACGCAGGCCTGGGTTTCAGGCACCACTTCCCCTCTGACAGCTTCTCTGGCACCCTTCCGCACCTCCCACCACCAGTTATGTGGTTTTGTGGTGAATTTTTATGGCATTGTAGTCTTCCTCTATTCTATAACAGTTCGTGTGTGTGTGTGTGTGTGTGTTTACATTTGTTTTTTTAATTGTCTCCCTTTGCTGCTATAGTATAAGCTCCCTGAAGTCCAGTATCCACGCACCTGTCTGCCCGTTGTCTTCACCATTTCATGTCCAGTGGCTTTCATACACTAAATGCTCAGGAGATATTTATTGGGAGGATGGATGACGGCATATGGAATACAACACTTCCCCAAGATGATCACATAAAACCTCAGAAATCAAATCCTCTACTTATAGACAGGAAGCCACAGCCAAGAGGCAGAGGGCCCTCGGTGGCAGGTATTGTGGCCCAGTGCTCTATCCATGCCTGAGTTATCTATCTTCTTTCAGTTAATAGAATTTGATCATTTTGGAGAACAGATCTCCATAGAGAGCCGACATAGAAATTCTAGTAAGATTTTAAGTGACACTAATAATTCAGTAGGATAAAGATCTAGAGACTAGAACATTTTAAAAAAATGTCTATTTCAAATGCTCCTGAAGGTAGCTGTAGCAATTTAGTATCAGGTATAGTTTCATGGCATAAAGAATTGATTTTATTTAGGATGTCTTGAGTTACACAGCTTTTGCTAGACTTTTCACAGTCCCCATCAGAACTCTGAGCCAGTCTGCCCTTTACCTTTTCTTTACCAAGGAAAGTAGTTTCTAGTCTGGGTGGCAGCTTTGAGCAGAGAGCATCATTGTGATCAATAATGCAAGCAGAACTTGTAAGAAACACAATAAAACCACTCATTCTTGGAAGAGATATTTCTGATTCTATTTTTCCTACTACCAATGAAAAATCTAACATTATGCTTTTAAATCCAAGGACCTGGGCTTCAAGAACACTCATTAGCTTTCTTTTACAATTGTACACTCACATGACAAAAGAATTCTCTAGAAATAAAAACGACAGCAAACCCCAGACTTTCTTTGAATGTGCACTCAGCTTCCTGACACTCTCCACAAGGTCCAGGTTAATAAAAACAAGGTCCCTCATGGAAAACATGGTTTCAACATTTACTTTCCAGGGAATTGTAAAGGTGCCAGAATTATAATCCCCTCCAGTGTTTGAGTAACTATCAGGCTGCTGAAATTATTAAACCTGTTCATTTAAAAAATTTCACAGATATGGCACCATCAAAAGACAAATATTACAACAAACTTAAAGGTCTCCATTGGCTTTTATTCATGATTCTAGAACCCAGCAGCCCTCAGAACTTGAACAGGCTCCAAAAATATACAACATGGTCAGGCAGTATTTATGGACAGAAAACAGAAGTGAGGTATAGAGACAGAAGTGAGATACAGAGCTTAATCGGTTTGCCTTATTTGAATTACTTGTCAGCCACGACTGACTAAAACTCTGCTGTAACAGAAACTCAGCCATTTGTTACCTGAGTAAACTCCTAATTAATTTTACTTCACACAAATGACTCCATATTGGTTTGGTCTGTTGGGTGCAAATCGTCTAAATCAATGGTGTTCTATGAATTTTAATAGCACCAAATTCTGCTTAATGGCTAAAGTTTATTTAATGAGTATAAATCCTACTCCAGTTGTTTAAGAAATGCAACTACTTTGAAGTATTTTTAATGTTCAGGGTATATGGGAAAAAAGAATAAAAATCGTATTAATATTTCAAGTACTTTCAGCCACTTAAAAAAAATCTATAGCTGAGCATACAGAGTATTGAAGGAATATTTGTCGAAATATTTTTCTGACTGCATCATGTGAAGTGAAATAACTCAGGGTACAATTTGCTGCTGGTAAGAAGCAAGAAGCATAGAACAATGCCAAGCCAAGGAGGAATGGTTCACATGCTTCCTGGAAGGTGCATGAACCTTGCTTGCTTGAGCATATCAGAGGGAAGGGCTGGGGCAGGAAATAACTCTGCCCTGTCTGGCTCACATTTACCTAATTCCAGCAGTGGAGAATGTCTGGTTCCCAGATTGGATCCAACTCCCAGGGTGTTTAATCTGCCAGTAGAACCTTAGCCAGCTCTGCCCAAAGAATGATTTCCCCCACTGGGCTTGTGAAACTATGCTACTTAGAAAATTGACTTTGAACCAGCAATGAGTATGCAGATAACTGATCAAAATTTCAAGGAATTTATAACTCAGACCTTGGTGGATAGAGTATCGCAAAGAACTAGACACTCGTGAAGCCCTCTTCTCATTCCTTTTGACATCTTCTGTTCCCATGTTTTATGATCAAGATCACACTGTCTCCTGTGCCTTTCCCTCCACTCTCTACCCGCCACCTTCCATTTCCCACTCTCCCCATACATGAGTGCATATGTAAATTTAGCCAAATTTATCAACATATTTCTTATCTATGCAGTGGAGATAATAATGCCTCTTACATTCAATTTCTGTCCTGCAGGGTACTTGCCACAGAACTTAACTAAAGGGCACATATCTTGAGTTTTTTCCTGTCACAGTTCTTCCTTTAAGACTGTCCCTCGCCCTGGCATATAGTTGGGATTGCAGCTGGATGCATAAAGACACAATTCCTTGAGCCACACATTTGCACTGGAAGGCGGAGGGAAGCAATCCAAAAATAAAGAGCAAACAAAGACATTCTAAATGCAGTACTGCAAATGATGAGGTTGATTTAGCCTCTGAGACATTTCGTTTTACAGTCTGAGATCACAGTAATAAGAGTGCACCAAGTTTCAAGCTAAACCTTATCCAGGAACTCACCATTGTGCCACAATGGTGGAAGGCCAGAACTGTTCCATATCAAGGAATGAGCTATGGCCAACTTTTGATTTATGAAGGACAGCTGACCTCATCTGGAACTCTTTCTGAGGTCCTGCAAGGCCACATTTCTGTCACATGCACCATTTTAATGTCAGCTTCTGGACTCTGGGGCTGAGCCTGGAAAGAAGCCATAAATTATTTTCTATCATGCACATGCCATAAGCTGGCTAGAAGAGATAGGATGTCCATCTGTCTCTTTTGGAGGAGCAGGGGGAGACCAGATATAACTCAAGACATCCCAAGATGCAATTTCAAGTGGTCATCTTCTGTTCTTCCTTTATTGCTTCTCCTGACTTCTACTTTATCCTGCAGATTACGGCTAAAGAGCTGGTAGTGCTGGTAAAGAGGGTCAGGCTTGGATGTACTAGGGACAGCAGGGCTGTAATGATAACTGAGGACTCAGTATCTACCTAGTCCTTGATTCATTCATTCATTCATGCAATCAAGCAGATTTTAAGTAAGCAACCACTGTCTCTCCACTTGTCCAGAAAGTTCGAAGGTTAGGACTGTTCTAGGAAACTTTCTTTTGTTGTAATAATTTCAGCCATGATTATGTCTCTAAATTTCCTGTAGGGTTTGGAGAGGGGAGATTCCTCACCCTGGGCTCAACTCTCTGAAGGTCCCGATTCAGCATTTCTGCTGGGGTTCTCAGGACCTGTGGTCAGTTGGGCAGCACAATTCTTTCAATCTCATTACTGTTTGTCTAGCATAAACGTCTTCTTCAAGTCACATGCTCTCTTGTTGGGATGTCTATTCACATTGACTAATTAGATACACTAATTCAACACCCTCTTCTCCCCCAAGAAGTATTCACCCATTCAACAAACATGCAAGCCCTGAACCAGGGACTCAGTGTATACTACATAAAGACCCAGCCTTGCCTTGACTGTTTCAACAATGGTCTTCTGGAGACAACGGTTTTCATGTTGAATCTTCTAGAAGGGATTTTTCAGGCCAAAGGAAAGTGATACTTTCAGAAAGATTTTCAGTCTCAGGCAGTTTAGTTACCACTGAATCTGATCCAAGGAAGAATTGCCTTATATCAAGGATTCAGGATTCAGGATTTCTTTCCTACCCGATTTTTGGAAGCAGAATTTGGAATCAGGCTTTGCATTTAAGTATAGATATCTGAATATAAGGACAGAACACAACCTTAGGAGACCTCCAGAGAATCTGAAAAACAGATCAGCAACTCCCACATAATCAAGAGTTGGCAGAGTATGTTGGATAAGTTTAGAAAGATGATTAGTTCATGCTTGACTTAAATGTTCTGTCTAATTTTCATTTTACAGTTTGAGAGATTATCCATGTAAAAAATTTTTTTCTTAATAAATCTGGAGTTGGTCCTATTACATACAACTCCTTATTATCCAACTCTGGAATGAAATACTGAGGGAAAATCTGTGTGATCTTGATCCCAAGAGCTCTGAGTGTTTTGGACCTCTGCCTTCCATGAACACAAGGATTCAGTGAGATATTTTCTCAAGGGTTCTTTGTTCATATGAATATAGGAAGCCACCAGAGATGCTGAATTTGGTATACAGAAGGTGAACAATAAATGATAGTATAATCTGATTCTTTAATTCCAACTGAAAAGGAAGATATTAAGGAGACACACCAAATAGAATAGAGTCACTTGCATGGAAAATTTCAAGAGTTAGAAATTGAGAACCAATTCAACAAACATGCAAGCCCTGAAACAGGGACTCAATATATACTACAAATGCCTATAAGACTAATTGGAACTTTTTAATGAATTGGAGAGTTTAAAAACATATTTTTGTCAGTTTGTTTTCTCATAGAACACACATCACTCCAGATCATTACAAGGCAGCAATGGAAAAATTTGATAAGGTAAATCAGCTTTGCAGCACTAGCAAATAACACGTTTTTGGTGAATGAATAACTAGCTAGATTATAAAATCAGAATAGGGATTTAAAAAAAAAGAAGTCCAGTGCTTTTGGAAAATAACCTGAGGGTACATTTTATGATTTACCCACAGATTTTAGACTTTACCTGTGCCTCACTTACCTGTAATGTGATATGACAACATCACATGGCCTGGGTGTATCCCGGGTGCTAGTGTATACATGGGATTGAATCCATCATGTAGATCTCAGAGCTGGTCGTCAGGGATCATGAGACAAAGCTCATTTCGATGTCTGGCATTCTAAGTGTCAGAACAATTAAAGTAAATGAAAGAAAACCTAAGGTAAAAATGAATGAGAAATAAAACCTAGGGTTACAAATAGAGAAGAAGAGCTTTATTGCTGTACTCATTCCTTTACCCCTTCTTCTGATCGTCTCCCCTGACTCTTCTGCATATATACTGTCTCTCATGTATCTTTGCTTTGAATCAATTTTCTAATTTTCTTTATCAATAATGCATAGGAGGAGATTGAGAAAGTTAGAATAACAAAATCACATTTTGTTTCAGGGGATCTATAACTCAGGGACATTTAGTAGTTGGAAACAGAAAATAACCAGAAGAAGAAGGGCATCACAGTAATGGGGGTAAGTCTTCCTGGTCACACTCGGCCAAGAACATATTTTACTTCTCTCTTCTTAAGTTCTGTGTGGTCTATAAACCAGTTCTTATTGAAGCTGCCGAGTAAACACTGACTAGAACATTTGGTGAAGGAAGAAATAGGCATTTATAAGCATTTCCAATAAACTGGTTAAGAGAGTGTATAACGTCCTCATCTCTAACATTTCACACATCTGCTTGGATTCATAAAATTGGAACTAGGAAAACAAATAATGAAAATAATCATAAAATAGCTGTATTTGTAAAGCCGAGCAGGAAGTCTGTGCTTTAAACAATTGCAGACTGAAAAATCAAAAGCTCTGCAACTATAATCATGCTTCACATAATAATGGAGCTATGTTCTGAGAAATGTGTCGTTAGGGGATTTCATTATTGTGTGAGCATCCTAGAGTGCATTTGCACAGATCACAGTGGCTGCAACCACTCTAATCTCATGGGACCACGGTCCTGGGTGTCCATCCTTGACTGAGACTCCATTATGCTGCATGTGGCTGTGTATGTGCACCCTGATTCTAAGAAGCAACCAGCTTGACTGTGAACCAGTGTGAATGGTTTGATGTGGAAAGACACAAGAGACCAAAAAAGGCAAAATGCCAACATAAGAATCCAGCAAGGACTGGTAGTCAAAACCAAAATTATGGATTTCATTCTGACCTAGCTTGGCTAACCTGGTCAGATATGGGCATCCTGTGTACCTTCAGCCACACTGTTAGCCCTGGAACATCTGGCTGAGCTCTTCCCTGGGTCTCGGTAGGAATCACCAGATGTAGGAATCTAATATTCTGGAACTCTAAGTTGATCAGGCATCTCTCTCATAACATTGCCTGAGCAAAGTTCATTTGTGTGTTTTCTTCCCACCTATACTGTGAGATTTTGGGGGAAATTACTATGTCTCATTCATCGATATAGCCATAGTGCTCTAAATGTAGATCTAAAAAAATGTTTATTGACTAAGTAGACCAGTTCCGCACTCAAGGCAAAAATGGCTTCTCAAAATTGTTGACAGTCATATATTTGTTGGTATGCATTTACTGAGTACCCTTATATTTTGTTGGCTCACTGGATTGATTTTTTTAAATGACAGTTTATGCCCTCCTGCAGCTCACATCTCAAGGGAATGATGGGAGAATGGCAGTGGGAAAGAAAGAGGATGGGCTCAAGAGGCAGTGTGGCACCACCCTTGGTGCCTGTTTCTCACTTAGATGAAGTGAATGGACGCTAAAGAGGTGAGGAGGAGGAGAGCCTGGGTTAAAGAAAGACACAGAATGGAGGAAACACCAGTGGAGAGAGAGGAGATGACTAATGCAGTGAAAACCCTCAAGGTCCCAAAGAAAAATGGAACACAGAGTACAAGACAGGATGGGTAACAAGCTAAGTACATTCTAAGTACATTCCCATCAACGGCGAGTGCTCTACACCTTAAAGCAGCCTGGTCCACTTTTAGCAACTCTGAGGACTTGAATATCTGTGATGATATTCTGCCACCGGTCCCAGTTCTGTCTATGGAAAGTCACAGAAAATAGGTTAAATTCCTCTCCTATGTGACAGTCTTTCAAATGCATATCCCCCCTTTCCTTCTAACTGATGTTCATATAATTTCCAAACTTTTCATCATTTGGGTTATTTTCTTGCTTTGGGGATTGACTAGTGGGAAAATGAAAGTGCAGAGAGAAAAGAGAAGATAAGAAATCCGAAAATTATGGCTGCCAGGGCTGAAGGGCAGCCAGAGAGGAGGCACTAATCCTCTCCCTGTGAAGCCCTGGGGAAGGCCCCAGGATCCACTCTATTCCACCCTGCCTGGTTCTCCAGTCCAATTCATTATCCACTTCCCTTTTTACAGCTTTCTCTCTCCTGAGGTCAGTCATCCTGCCCTTAAATATAGGAATTCTGTTTTGCTTTTCCTATTCTATTAAAATATTGACAGAATAATTTGTGCAAGAGATATTAGGAAGAGATACATATTTAAGTCTTTTAGAAATAAAAGATACTTAAATGTGAAGCTGCAGGTAGTAGTAAACTGGCTCTATCCTAGATCATCATAAACCAACCGAACATTATTTCCTTTGAGGCAACTGCTCAAGAAAAACAAATGGGAACATTTTACTATGTCGGATGCTATGACCCAGTTACATGTCCACATCAAAAATAAAGGAGGAGAAAGGCATCAATACGATTTTTGGTTTATATAAATTATTAGTCTAATAATTTATAAAGTGGGGGAAAGAAATTGCTCAATCAAGGAAGAAACAATTTTCTTCCAGATGTTAGAATCTGTCTATAAACTATCTCTTCCAATTGGACTTTCTTAGAATTATCAATACTTAAAATCATACATCTCTCAAATCATATATTCCTTTTTCATAGCTTGATGACTTTGGATAGGATCAACTTACTCCTTTTCTCTGTAGAATCATTCACCTTACAGTTCAGCTTCATCCACATCTTTCATATATTACCACTTTATGTTTCATATTTAGTGAATGGAACCCAAAATCTTAGAATCAAAAGCTACAGGATCAAACCAATGTCATCTGTCCCCTGTAGGGATCTTTTCTAAATGCATATACTTTAAGAAAGTGCTGGGGGAAAAAAAGGACTATCCATTATCAATAACATTTTAGGTTATTTTCTCCCTAAGGAGGTTTAGCATCATCATGAACCACAACTTACCCCTTTTGTTTAAAGTAAAACCTATCATATGTCAAACCCAGAAAATAAGCTTTCCATTTCCATAGCCCTACAACGTTCAGCAATTATCACATCTAAGATTCCATCCCTTGAACTTGTACATGGCAGAGACCAGGCTGTCTATGTCTAATTAAACAATTCCCTAAAAATGCACACAGTACATTTTAAGAACATCCTGGGACCTTGGATTTGCTTCAACAAGGACATTCTCCCCTGTCACTGTTCTGCACATTTTTCAACATCTTATCCTTCTTGAGTTTTACTTCCAAATTATAAAATATCATATCAATTGATATATAGAATTTTGCATCTAAGGTAGTCTTATAACTTCCCATTGGCTTCTGACTCATTTCATTGTAGCTTTCTTCTTCATGGTTCTAAAACAACTTTGTTTTTATAGCATTAAACAACAACAACAACAACAGAAAAATGGCTATTGTCAAACACTATATAAGGAAATGGTTTCCTTGACAACCATAACCACAAGCAAATCATTGAAACATCTTCCTCATTACCGGATCTGTTTGGTTGCTAAAACACTTCAAAACATTCTTATGCACAGTCAGGTACTAAATACCTATGTTTATAGAACAAGCTTGAAGCAGTGCAGGTGATAAATTTTCACATGGTAGAGCTCAACCCCGTGACATAGTCTCTGAAGGACAAATGCTAAAAATTTGATATTTAAGATCCAAAACAAATGACTACCCCCAAGACACAATTTTAAAAAAAAAGATAAATTAGAAATGTCAGAGAACTGAAAAAAATATTACCTAAATGTAAAGTGACATTTCAGCTTTATTAATTCAGAAGTAGATGCCAAATACTAATTCTCTAATATGGAAAAGTTCAGCTTCAGGGGTATCCACAGAACACCAGAAATTTGATCCCAACCCCTACTAAAAGTATGTCTAAAATCTAGACACAATATATACAAAGTATCAATTTAAAATAGTTACTCAAAAAATCTATGGTAAAGAAATGCCTTAGAGCCCATAAGAGTCAAAGGATTGCTATTTCTGGGAACCTTTCAAGATAAAAATATCTTCCAAATATCAAGGGGTTTTTTGTTTTATCTTCCCCCAGCAATAAGAAGATATGAGTTTTCACAGATTACAGAAACTTTGGAAAAGTCAATGGGAGATTGTGTACAATGCCATAACCATATCAAGAAAAAAAAATCATTAACCAGAGCATGTAACTTCCATGTTGTCTCAGTCTCCTGAAATCTGTCAACCTGTCAAGGACAGGACACAATGACAGAACATCCCCCATCCTGCTCAATACCACTATTAATTTAGGGATTTCTTCAGACTGGTTGGAATCAGAATAATTTGACTGACATAAATTAAATAAGCAATCATATTTGTGATTGTGTGTTTATTTTTAAAAATATGCAAAAATAGAGGTTTGACAATGTAATCAAGGTAGTGGAAACTGTTTAATAAGAGAGTAGAGCTTCAGGTCACCAGGTAGGTTGAAAAGGAGCAAAATGATTATATGGAGAGTTTCATTTGCAGAGTTTTATTTAAAAACTCCTAGAAAGCTGCCGGGCACTGTGGCACATGCCTGTAATCCCAGCAACTCAGGAGCCTGAAGCACAGGGATTCCAAGTTCAAGGCCAGCTTCAGCAACTTAGGAAGGCCCTGAGCAACTCTGTGAGACCCTGTCTCAAAATTTAAAAAAAAAATAAAAAGGGTTGGGAATGTGGCTCAGTAAAACACCCCTGGGTACAATCCCTAGTACAAAACAAAACAAAATTCCTAGAAAACCTGTGAACTTAGGTATGAATGGTGGAAAGGTAGGCAGAGAGGGAGAGAAGAAAGAAAGGCGGAGAAAAGATGATACAAAATAAAGAGATAAGAGAACACATTGGCCAAGCTGCTCAGGGTTGCTAACATTTACTTAGCAGCTCAAGTAGAATTCAGGGAGTTAGTTAACAGAGATCCTAGGCCCCATTCTGAGGTGATTTTGAGATCAGTGTCAAAATGAAGCCAAAAGATACATCTGAGCCCTGATTTAAGAGAGAGAGAGAGAGATTAACTTTTTTTAAAAAAACATACTTGAATTCTTGCCACATTGTTCTACAGATTAAGAATTCTGGGGCCCTTCCATCCATCCAGGCACTAGCAGAATCAGAATGGTAAGGAAAAGTGTGGGCATTGCCACAGCCATTTCTTGGCCAAGCCCCAAGGACAGGCAGGATGGCCCCTCTCAGGTGGCATCCATGTTTAGATTTCCAACATTAACAAGAGGAATTTCATCTGGTGGATTCTGGACATAATCAACCACTTATCAGAGTGGATTCCAGGAGTTATGTCAGGCAGAATCCCATCAGACTAATTCTTTGAGAACTTCAAAAACTTGTGTGGGCAATAGCATTATGAAGAATTGCCTGGAAAAAAAAAATGGAAAAATCTAGACATTCTGCTGCATGTACTAAATCTGTCTTTAGTTTGTTCCAGGCCAATAGAGCTCTTCATACCTAGACTACCTCATTTAGTTCTTTCCACCTCTTGATGACTTTCATTCATTTTTGTTTTAAAATATATGTATTCATATCTTATTTTGTTCTGTAAAGAATTCAAGGGAGAAATTTTTGTTGAATGGAGCTGTGGAATTAGGTCATCAGCCTGTAATTGATGAAGAGTATGCGAAGCACATCTACGAAATCCCTTTCCAGGTATCACTGAGAACATTGCTCACTGCATTGCAAGGCCTTCTCCTTATAAAGATCCACTAGAAACACTGCCTTCCTACCTCTGTGCAAAGAAGCACGGCGCTCTTCTTCCATCACTGGCTTGTTCTTATCTTGTGAACACAGACTCGGTAAAAGACTGTATTTCTCTCTGGGCACAGAGCTAACTTGGGACCCTTGCTCCTCCATCATATAGAATGTCTCAGCAGGCAGCTCATGGATTCAGTCCTGGGTGTATAATTTTTTTTTCCTTTCTAGATTCTCTCTGTATTCAAATATACTTACTTTACAAATTTTGAATTAGTTCATATACATAGGACATTAAGTGAAAAGGCCAAGAGTTCAGAGCAGCATCTCTCCTGCCCGCAGATAAAGAAAGGCAAGCCTACCCCATTGGGGCTGGACAAGAACCCAAGCCATTTAGATCCAGAAAGGACTTTGGACCTGTCTTGACCTGGAGAAAGAATAAGTAAACTCACAGACCACTACCACCTCTCAGACCACCCTCACCCATGGGAAGGTAACCTTTAGAGAAGCGTTTCAGGGTGTTATGTAATACCATACAATTCTCCTACAGACTCATGAGATAAAGTACTCAGTGCTTTTTAAAAAACAAAAATAAGAAACTAAAATTTATTATTCCAATGTAATGTTTACTTTTTCTCTTGTATAGGATGGAAACAACCCAATCCTCTGAAGGAAAGTACAATTTCCTCTGCTGCCTCTGTAAGTGCCTGGGAAATGGCACTGACTTCAGAAATCCTGGAGAACCACTCCCACTACTACCCAGAATGGGTCTGGCTGGTTCTGATTTCATTTGGCTCAATGCAAGGCACCCATCCCTGTCTAAAACTTTGAGTTGGCTGTTAACTTCGATCTCTCTCCTTGACTCTGCTCTGACCCTTTCCTTGGTCCAATATTTTACTTAGTATACTTCTACAATATCTACTGGCCCGGGTCACCAGGAAAATTCATCTGGCCCCTGTTCACAGCTACTCCCCTGAGCTCAAGTGAAGAACTCATCTTGGTCTTACAACACCCACATGCCTGGGAACCCCTCAGTCCCAAGTAAACAGGAATAGTTAGGGGTCTCCCTGCTCCCAGCCCACATTGGTCATACAGCAAATTGATGGCAGAAGCAGGACCCTAGGTATTTTATTACTTTATATGTTATTATTTAACTTACTCATATTAATGTACTCATATAGAATTATGTGATATATTAATATAATAATTATGTATTATGTGTTATATGACTGTATATATATATTTAGAATAAATATATGTACATTAATATACATATATAAAATATATAGAATATGTATTATATAGAATACAACTTTCAGAAGATAACATTGTGAGCAAGTATCACAGAACTCACTTGTCTACATGGATAAAACAATTATAGCAATATTCACAGTGAAATTTCTCATTTTCATCCCCTGAGATCCTGCAGGCTTCAAAAATACCTGTGTTGCTTTATGCCAGTGTGTGCCCAAGTAATATAGATTCATTTCTAATACTGCTCCAAAGTAATGAGGTTAAGAAAGTATATGTGCTATTTAAAACCAAACAATGAATTCTAGACATGAAAGAAATGATTCTAGGATTACCTGATTTCATCAAATCTACAGCTCTCCCTTCCCTATTTAGCATGTGCAACAAGAGTTTCCTATGAATCTGTCTCAGAAGACAAAGGGAAAAAATAAAACTCTGTACTCAGGGAGACCTGATTTTTTACAAATCAGGTAAACAAATTTCTAAAATATCATTGCCACAACCCCTGAACAACAGGAGGGAGGTTCTGGAAGCATGAACAGTCAGTGCACACGATCAATAGGACTCACACATCAACGTTCGTCATTGATCCTTTATGCATTGCTCAAATCACCTAGTCTTGGAAAATGCATGTGCAAACAGGCTCTGGTTTGAGGTTGAGGCAGGAGGACTGCAAGTTCAAGGGTAGCTTTAGCAATTTAGCGAGACCCTCAGTAACTTAGTGAGCCCCTGTCTTAAAATTAAAAATAAAAAGGGTCGGGGATATAGCTCAGTGATAAAGTGCCCCTGACTTCAATCACTGGTACAAAAAAAAATGCTTTTATTTGTAATCTGGTGAATATCTCATTTCTGAGCAACCATCAGGGTAACCTATCCATCTATGTCCATTATGATCTTTTTAATAAAGAATGGTTTCTTATTTTAAGAAAAAAAGAAAGAAATCAAATCATAGGAATGTCAACATCCTGAGCTTTATGTTTCTGTACTTGCTGACATATTGAATTGTGTGCATTGGAATAGAGAGTGGGATTAACTCCATAGACACTTGTGCACCTAATTCTGGAGGCAGTATAATCATTCTGTCATGTTTGATGAATGCCTGGATACATCGTAGGATTTTGAGAGTCTCAAGTTAAGCTTCTAGTTTATTCCCATAAATCTCCAGGGCTTTAAATAAAAGTGATCTCATATATCTTCACCACAAGACTCAGGTGCAAAATCCTTCAGCAAGAAAACATCCTCTGAACTAGATATGTTTTGAATTGATCATATGCCCACTTATCTAAGTATATGAGACTGATGCGAAGGCTCCTTTAAAATAATGATAGGAAAAATGGTTTCCAATGAGAAAGCCCCAGAGACAGGAATGTCAATTTATTGCAGGCATTTGTGAAGAAAAAAAGAAAAACTGGTCATTTTTCTTAAACAAAAACGAGAGTCAGACACAGCAAATCTGTTGGCACTGAAAATTAATAGTATACCAATTTAAAAGGAATCACACATTTTTTTAAAAAGCTACTTAATTTTTTTTTAGAGAATTTTAAGGTTCACAGAAAAATTGAACAGAAAATACACAGATTTCCATATACTCCCTGCTTGCACACAGGCACAGTCTCCCCAGTTATCAACACCAGCCCCACACTGGGTTGCTATGTTTGTTATGATTGACACATAATGATCACCCTAAGTTGGTGTCGTTCACTCCATGAGTATTACTAACTTATAACAGTGTGGATTCTCTATTGTAATATCACACAGAGAAGTTTCACTACCCTAAAAATCCCACCTATCCATCCCTTCTTCCTCCCCTCACCCCTGACAACTACTGAAAATTTTACTCTCTCCACAGTTTTGCCTATTCCAAAATATCATATGGTTGGAATTATTCAGTCTACAGACTTTTCATATTAGCTTTTTTCATTTAGTAATATGCATTTAAGTCTCCTCCATGTCTTTTCATAGCTTGACAGCTTATTTCAATTTTTTCTTTTCACTGACATTCTCCTTTGACTTAGAACAGTGGTTTCCATGGCAGAGATAGAGTTTGAGTTTTGCATGTTGGCAAATGTTAGAGCAAATATGGTCTGGATTTAGAGACAGTAGTCATAGGGTTCAAGTTCCAGCTCTGCCGTCGATGAAGATGGGAACTTGGAGAAGTCACTTAACCACTGAGGGAGTGAAGCCTGAATATAAAGGGGCTTAATTGTCCATGAGGGCACTCAGCTTGACATTGGGCCCAACAGGGGTGCCCCAGACTAGGTGGTGACATGCTGACCCAGTCAATTCTTCTGTCTTACAAAACTGAATTGTCAAATTTTAGAAATTTGGAGTTTATGTGAGGAATAGGAAGCAACTAAGTTTGAAGGGATGAAAAGAAGATAGATTCCAAAGCTAACCTTGCACCCCAAAAGAAATCTAAGTTCTAATCATATGGTGAAACAAATTATAGTCAATAAATATTATAATGTGGGATACAGGTGATTGTAATAATAAGAGCTCACTCTCACAAGTAATCATAGTAGGAAAATAAGATACAAAAATGTATACACGGGTATAGGTTACATCTGTCATCCAACGCATAGAACTGTAAATAAAGGTACTAGAGTTAAGGAAATACTGAAATCCTTATCAGTGCTTATCTCTGGGTAGTAATTATAATTGCACTACCCAGAGTTTTTAGCAGAAAACAAATGGAATTCTTAAACTGAGTAACTTGAGGAGTGTGTTTTAAGGGGTTGCCTTCAACTTCCCAGGGTGGATCCCATAAGCAGCCAGGCCAGTAGGGACTGGGGCAGCAAGTGGTCTCTGAAACTGCAGAGGGAACAACTGTGGGAAGGGCTGTTAAGCAGGAGCTGCAGTCACACCAGGAGGAAACCGGGGGACAAACTGCCCAAGCTCACTCACTCACATTGGCAAAGCTCAGTAAAGTCAGAAGGCAAGGGCCTTGGATGTAGGTTGCCCTCCCCAGGCACTCCTACAGGGATGAATGGGGTGATTTCCTCTTCCTCTTCATTCTTATCTGAATTTTTGACATTTTCTCCAAGGAACCTGCAGATCAAACATGTACTTTGAGTTATTTTCTCCTGTGTCATTCCATTTTTGTCTTTTTTTTTTTTTTTTTTTGCTTAGGATGGGATGAAAAATATAACAGAAGTGTGGGTCAACAAAAAGACTGAAAAATAAGCTGAGGGGATGAGAAAATGCAAAATTATGGGGGAAATAACACAAGGAGTGATTATGGGGATATAAAAAGTTACATTTGGTGGCTAAAGCTAGTCCCCTGAGTCTCACTGTCCTGGTCTACACTGTTCTGCTTATCAAAGACTAATAGTAATAGAAATGATGGTAGTTTCTAAGGGGATCTGAACAGACGTCAGATGTCCGCTTTGACATACACAATCACCATTTGAGAGTCACCAGTCTTTTTCAGCATTCTGAAAACATTTTGTCTTCTTATGTCTCTGATCTAAATATATCTGTTTTCAAACCCCAATAGTATTTTTTTCTTTCTTCCTTTTTTTTCCTAGTGTGCAAAAACCAAGTAGAACCCACATCTGACAGATCTCACAGATGTGACTAACTTTAGTACAAGCAGATGTCAAACCAAGCAAACCATACTTGCTGATTAATTGCATACTCGTGAAATGAAGAATAAATAAGGTTTGTGTTCGACACTTCCTCAGAGACAGGTTTCTGTAAGGCTAACATTCAGTTCATCAAAAGTCCCCCTAGGCACCCAGGCCATCTCTGCTGATCCAGTAGAGGGCAGTGACAGATCCAGGAGCATGGCCCAAGGCAAGGATTCCCCAGGGAAAGTGCCGCTCAGTGCAGCTTTATCCAAGTGAGGCACACGAGGTTACCTGAGCTCATTCTCCCTTTACACTCTGGTCTGCAGCTGCTCCCTTAGTAGCCCTGTGTCCACTGACAGCAGTCAGGAAAACAAGAATTATGACCTTCACCTCAAGCTGCAACCCTGAAAACCAAAGCACAGCACCTCCCACCTCAACAAGATCAGATACATGGCTAGGTTGCTTAGCCGTATACTTCAGGCCCAAGGTAGGCCCTGCAAAAAGAAGGTAGGAAACAGCCATTAAAGGAGCAGCAAAGGAGCCCCACCCTCTCCCAGGTCCCCATGCAAACCTTCAAACCTAATCAACAGGGAATCTCAAGCAGGAGATGATCAATGCTGGTCCTTGACAGGCCTGTGACTTTAATTAAACAGACCTCTGACTTGACATTATAGTTAATGCAAGAGAGATGAGCTTCATTATGAGCAAGCAAAAGATGTTCCACTTGCAAACATCAAATAAGCTGTGGAAGTTATTAGCATGGATTGTCAGCCGGCAGACACCTCAGGAGATTTCAAGCCCTAAGAATTTCTAGAGTAATTAATTGAAGACAAGTTGGGGAAGCACATTGTGCAAGAGTTTCCCTAGTGCAACTTAACTTTTCTACTAAAGAAAACAACTTAAGTAATTTGCATTGCATCATTTATATGCAATCAGGAGTTAGTCTTTCTTTTGCTGGTGTATAAAAATAGAAAGCATTATAAATGTTAGATATGAAAGAGACTTTAAACACTACTATTTTAAATTTGTTAAGCAATGGAACCCTTTTTAAGATGAATCTCATAAGGAACTTCAATGTATCTAGAGCAGATGAAAAATATCTTATTAATATACATTTATTTGATAAGATCATCTTTCCAAGAGTGCTATAAAGACAGTTACTAAGAACAAGGAAGTTTGTTAAGTGAATAAGATGAGGGTTTATAGATAACAGATTTTTATCAGAATTTATTTTATTTGAATATGTTCTTTGGAACTATTTTTGTTCATGACAGTGATTCCATAGATGAGTCATAATAGATGTTTTTGTAACAGCTTTTTTTTTTTTTTTTACAACCTTAGGATACTCATGAATTCTATAGGTCAAAAACATCAATTCTGAAGCCTATACTAAAATGTTATTAATATCGAAAACATATTAATGAGTTGTCATCTCCAGTGAGTAAAACATTTTTTTAATGATTGCAGTAGACACAGATAGTTGTGTTCTTAACAAAAAATCAGCTCCTTTTCTTCCTGGGAACATCTGCCAACCTTCTTTGTAGCCATTTATTTCTAGCCAATGACACATACTGCTTCCGCACCTAGCACCTGCAAATTGCCACAGGCAGCCCCCCCCCCACCCATCCCTTTCCTCAACAGCAGGTGGTATGCAAAGGACTCTGAGGTCCTTTCTGAGGACCATGCAGAAGGCCACCTGCAGACCACATCCTTAATAGATTTAAAAGAACAAGCAATAAATTTACCCTGTATTAGAAAATTGAAGTTTGAGACTTTGTTATGGAAGCAAATATTATTTATTCTTTCTAATTAATATAATGAGTAAGGTAACTATGAAAATAATTGAACCAAATGTTTACTGAATGCCTGAAGCACCTATCCAGAAGCCAGAACTTAAAAACTAGAGCTTTGTCCAACTTCTTCATAGTCATGACTTTCTTGCTACAGAAAAGAGAAATCTCCATAAAAGCCACCAAAAGGTTAGAAGGACTTATTAGAACACCAACGTAATCAAGATGAGTTTCATTTTTATGCAGAAAAGATGTAAAGCACTATCTTCCCACCTATACCATGGTCATCCTGGTACTCATCCTCTATAAGCCTCAATGTACCTGTAATTCCTGAGAGTACATGGTGAAGCAGGGCCTCTCCTTTCTTCCAGTAAATCCCCACAACAAAGGGAAGCCTCTTTACTAGTTCATTCTTAGTGAATTAGCCAAGAGTAAGAGGAGAAGCTGTGAACTGGCAAAAAGACCAGAAAGCTCAGAATCAGAAGATCCCAATTCAAGCCTCACATGACTTCTTAGCATCTATATGAACTTAGACAAATCACTAAATCTCATTATCAAAATTAAGGAATGAGGACATTGTGAGTAGTAAGATCAAACATATGAAACTTCCTTAGAAAATATAAGAAAGTATACAAATGCAAAATAGAATAATTACCTTTGGTTCTGAAGAATTTAGCATATATATAATCTTACCAAGGGGGCATTGTAACAAAATGATGAAATCATGTTGTTTAATATAAAAGACATAGATTAACCTCTCTTTCTGCTTTGGATTTATTAAAATAAGTTTAGATGCAAGTGACAGAAAACTATGATTGTAGTTTAGTTTCTTCACATATAAAAGTCCTGGAAGACTTCCTGGGGTAGTATAGCTTTCCTGGTGGGATACCAGGTAGAGCTGTCAGATAAAATACAGAATCCCCAGTAAAACTTGTATTTCAGATAAACATCAAATAATATTTCATAATAATTGTGTCCTATGTGATATATATTAGGCAGACTGTATTCTTATTTGATAAATCTGGCAACTCTAGACCAGACTTCTTCTTTAAACTGTTTCCTCATTTTCCAAGATGGTGGCATTTATATTCCAGAAAGCAATCATTCTGGGAAGAAAAGATGAAGAAAGAAAAGCGAAGTATGCGTAAATACTATTTCTTAATAAAGAACCCCAACGCCGTCATACTACAATTGCACCTGTTTCTGAAAGTCCAGAATGTAGGCCCTGGCCAAGCCTAGGTGCAAGGGAGCATGAACAAAAGCAGTTTCTATTCTAGGCAGTGGTATGTATGCTCACCTAAAAGTTCTCCAACTGTGAAAGCAGGAAGGACTTCATATTGCAAAACAACTATGGACTCCAATAACTGTTGTAGTCTGTTTGGTGCTGCATCCTCAGAATTGTGGACTGAAGCCTCTAAAATTGTGAGCCAAAACAAACCTTTTCTCTTGATAACTTGACTATCTTAGGTATCTGTAACAGTGATGGAAAGCTGACTGATGGACCCTTTGGCCCACTAACCACATGAGGAGTCAGTTTTGTCCTGTGATTGGTTGACCCTGTTGCTTTTGGGGAAGCATCTCAACATGGCAGGAGCACATGATATAGCAAAACCCTTACTTCATGACTGGGAAGCAAAAGAGGAAGAGGAAGAAACTGGGGTCCAACAATCCCTTTCAAAGGTACACCTTCAAATACCTAAGGACTTCCCACCAAGCCCCAACTTTTAAAAGTCTCTACCACCTCCCAATAGGGCCAAGCTGGGTATCACACCTTTAACACACAGGCCTTTGGGGACATTCCAGATCCCAACTATAGCAGAGACCAGAGCATTCCCTTCCACCTTGTTTACAAGTACACTAAGCCTGTTCAAGAAGCCAGAATTATCATGCAATCCCTTTCCACCTCTCAGTACTCTCACAGTTGATATCCAGTTCTAACAGGAGTTTTAGAAGGAAATGCACATTCAAGCCATAGCATACAGTGCTTATCAAAAGTTTCATGTTGTAAAAAATCAGTGTACTTTCTCCCAGAACACTTTTTTTTCAGATTAAAATAATAATAATAATAAACCTGGTCTTACCTTCTTATCAGATAAACATCTAATTCTGCTTTTATTCTTTCACAGGGCAATATCAAAAAAGTCCATGAGCTGTCAGGGTGAGGCTTAGGACATCAGGACTGAAGAGAGTTTTATTCCTTTGTTGAAGGCTAATTCTAATCTGGTTTTAAAAAAGCTAATGAGAGATTTCTTTTAGTTCTAAAATTTAGATGAAAGATTTCAATAAATATTTATTGATTATCTAATGAGCTAAGCACTGGGAATACATAAATCATGACATATTTGATGGAGAGAAATGTATGGACAGGATGATGTGGAGGCGTTGTAATTGGTATATATGTAAATTGTAGCTGAAACTTTGGGTAGTGAGTATTTAACTCTGCTCTTGAGACCTGAACAAATCTTCACAGAGCAAGTTACTTTTTGTGTGTAGTCATGAAAAAAAAAATTGGAAGGAGAGTCAGGAAAAATGATGGGATGAATCCTCCTAGTAGAAATAAGCAAAATTCAGATGCACAGAACCTTTGCAAAGCAAAGTGAGTTGTGGGTGGGGTGACAGATGAACGTCAAGAAATGTCAGGGACATGTAGGGAAAGACTGACTTGGAATTTTGAAGACTTTGAATGACAAGCTAAGCTCTGGACGTCAGAGCATGGAAGACCTGGACTCAATTTTAGTCTTTGCTAATTCTAAAGCTATGTGATCTTGGGCATACCATTTAATCCCTTTTGGACCTTAGTTTCCTACCAGTAAAACTGAAGTGATGCAAATATTAATTTTGACTATTACCACTCTTATTTTGTGCAATAGAACACCAACTGGAATTTTAATCAAGGAGTAGATGTTAGAAAAACGTACCTAGAAGCAATGCAGAGTATGAATTAAAAATGGAAAAAAAAAAAACAAAAACCCAAACTGGAGAATGTAGGCCTCGAGTCCTGATGAGCACTTGAATTGAAGAGCTGACAGCAGGCACGGGGACGAGAACTCTGCAAGAGCAGAATCAGCAGGCTTGCCAGCCAAGAGCTTGACAGGTGTGGAGAGTACAGGCAGAGATAACTGAGGTTCCATGCATGAAGTACTACAGATGAGGCAATTACAGGAGAAGACCCCAAGCTATCATCTCCTGAGTGTCTCACATAGATCAGGAACTGTTCTAAGCCACCCATATAGGGTTGACTGTGGCCCCATAAAATGTGTCCAAATCCTAACCTCCAGACCTGGTGACTGTGACCTTATTTGTTTAAATAGCTTTGCAATGTAAATTAAGGATTCCAAGCCAAGATCAACCTAATGGATTCAAATGGGTTCTAAATCCAATGACAGGAGAATCCTTAGGAGAGAAAGGCAAGGAGCCCTGGCACAGGGAAGAGGGGAGAGATGTGCCATGAGCCAAGGCACATCTGGAGCCACCAGAAGCTGGGTAAGGTCAGGCCCCTCATAGTCTTTGAAGGGATTGCTGTCACCTTGATTTAGAACTTCTGACATCCAAGACTGTGAGAAAACAAATTTCTCTCATTTTAAGCAGTTTGTGGTAATTTGTTACAGCAGTCATAGAAAACTGATAAGCTAACTTATGCATATTAACTTTCACACATCATGGAGTTAGGGTCCTGTTCTTACCTCCACTGTATAAGTTAGTAAGTGAGACACCAAGAACTTAAGAAACTTCACTTAGCTGCTTGTTGAGAGAGCTGAGATTTGAGCTTCAACCTTACTGCTCCAGAGTCTGTCCCTCTCTTCCTGAGGTGTGGAGGTGAAGGCACTTGAGGGGCATCCACTCAGAGGGTTTATTAGGCATTGGATGGATAGAATGGCAGCTTTAGGTTTCAGACTTTTTTGTGCCTCTCTTAGGGAGGAAGCTTTAGACAAGCTAAAAATCTGTAAATTATTTAGTATAATGCATAGTGTATTAGAAGAGCCCCATAAATGTTAATTGTCAATATTATTATTGCATGTGGTATTTAAAACCACAAGAGTGGCATTACTGTAGCCTGGTAAGAAGACTTGATTTATTAAATGGGAAAGTTAGATCGAAATCAAATCCTAAAATCACAGGAGCATAGAAAAAAATTATATAAGTTTAACATTGGTATTGTGGACATAGTTTAAGACCCAGATAAAAGATGGTCAAGGTAATAAAAAAACAAAACTGAAGTTTTCTTACCTAAGCAATGGTGGGTGGGGACTGAGGTGGCATTGATCAAACAACATGGAAATAAAACAATTACATAACAACTATCTACTAAAGGGAAAGTCTTAGCTTGAGTGCTCTGAACATTAAATAATGCAGGCAAAGGCTTTGAAAAAACAACAATTAGTACCCTCTTCTCAGAAACTTGAAATAGTTGAACAATCTTCCATCTAAATAGGCATTGCTAAGACCTGGGGAAATTTTCTTTTAAATTCTTAGGCCAAGGGTAGGGTACATTAGAATGCTCTTGATAACAGACCTTTTTCTGGGGGAATGTTCTGAAGTCAAAAGATGCAACTAATCTGTTGGTTATTTCCATTAGTATATTCTTGCTCTGTCTTATTCATGTATTCAGCGCACATTAAGTGCCCTTGAAGTACTAAGCCGAGGGAATGGACAGATGACTTGCACACACAGCCCTCCCCCCAAGGAGATGTATGAGTGGGACAGAGGCATAAAAGATAACAAGACAACATAACAACACAGTTACAGAAATATGCTCTGATATCAACAGAATTAGGGGGGAGGAAATCTGGACATACTGAATGATCTCCATCATTCAGGGAAGATGCCTGCTTCTGTAACAAGATACCAGAGACTGGTTTATAAACACTAGAAATTTTTTGTACCTTCTGGAGGTTGAGAAGTAGAAGATCAAGATATCAGCAGATCTGGTGTCTGGTGAGGGCTTTCTGGTTCATAGATGGCGCCTTTGGGTTGTATTCTTACATAGTAGAAAGGGAGGGGACTCTCCCAGACCTTTTTTATTTATCTATTTATTTTTTATAAGGGCCCAAAATCTCATTTATGAGGGCTTAGACATATGGCCTTATCACCTCCCCACATCCTCATCACTTAATGTTACCATGTCCACAGCCCTCAGAGAGTAGGGAAGAGAGAGTGGTACTGTAATCTTCACTGCTGAGATAACCCCAGCTTGAAAAGAAATTGAAACAAATTCCACATTTTCCATTTCTCAGAACTCTGTGAGAGAGGGACAGGATTCTAGATGTTTAATTTTGACCCAGCACTCTATCTTTCCTACAAAATCAGAACAACCCTTTATTAAGACAAACTGTATCACATTAACCATGTGCAGTTTTCTGATACAATTATCTTATGCCTAAATAAACTGATAAGAAGTTGTACAGATATGCCAAGAGTTTTTTGAGCAAGAAAACACCCAACAAAACCTTCTCCGGTAGTCACTTCCTACATTCAGCATGTTTTCCCATCACAGGTTCTACTTTGAAAATTTTTTTTATTGTTGGAACCAAATTGACATTCTGAATATATGACTTTGCTCCAGTTTCTATCTTTATTTAGGGTTTATTTTCAAAGGGTGTTTCAGAGGTGCGGGGAAAGGCAGAACAACCCAACTACACACATCGACACCACACTCCTTGCTATCCCCAGCTCAAAAATAAAGCTCAATTGAATGAGTTCACTTGGGAACATGCAAATATTTGCTGAAAGGAAATGATTCTGCATATCAAGAGGTGGAAGAAATCCCCAGAAGAGATTCAGATGAGATTTGCTGCTGTGTGCCCTGGCAAAGGTAACTTAACCAGACAAACACCAGCCTATAAATAATGGTAGTTACCCCAGCACAGTGGTGCTTCTGTCAGAGAGTGGTTTTCTTTACTTAACTGCCATTATTTTCAAAGAGTTTCAGTATTATGCAAAGTAGAAGAAGAGGAGGAGGAGGAGGAAGGGAGGAGGAGGAGGAAGAGGAAAGAAATTACAAGGTAGACTTGATCAGGAACTATTATGGAAACAACTGCTCTGACCTCAGCCTTGAAGACAGATCTGTAGAACAGATCTGTTCCCATTAAAAAAAAAAAAAAAGTGTGTGCAATTTTATGCCATCCAAAAAAAAAAAAAGTATATATATATATATATATTTGTTGTGACATGAAATGCTGATTAAATGTCTTGGGGGGTAATGTTCCTTGTGAATTCATGGATGAATATTAACTACTCAATGTGTGAATATACTATAAATACAGAAAAAGGCAAGAAGGTGAAATGAACACTAGATGCCATCAGAAAAATAATTTGTAAATATTTGGACTGTGATAAAGCTCGTGCTTCTTTAAAAATCGTTCCATAACTGGAACGCAAAATAAAGACCTCCTCAGAGAACAGATGTTTTAAATGCTAATCAAGAGAGCAATTTTCATGGAATACGAAAACGAACATTGAAATGAAAGCGAAAGGGC